GTTCAGCTACCTCTTTTCTAGCTCAATGATCTTTATACGATATAACTCTCCCAGAACTTAGAATCCTGTAATTTTAGAATCATTTTCTTGTGTAGAGTCTTAGGATCCAAGCCTCCTGCAAGCAGTGTCCAGTTGCCCTGGGCAATCTTAGTGCCCTGCTGTCTTAGATTGGAACATGCTGGAGTTGGCTTCACTATGTCATGTTGTGATTTTCAGAGGTTTACCCATTGAAGTCTATTCTCGTGGAATAACTTGTTGGGAAGCCTTGATCTGTCACAGCTTAAAGCTACGACTAGTCAGAGAAGCACCCTGTACTTACGCTTCCCCCTGTCCATCTCACTTTACTCTTCAAAGCTGTCAGGAGTATTGAGATAGTACAGTCTTTCCACTTTACAGAACGGATATTTGACTGCTAGAAAGGCAGTCAATGGGAAGGGAGTGAGCCAGCACTAACTGGCACTCTCTGCCCCTGGGCTGGTCTCTCCAGAGAAAGGCAAGCCTGCAGAGGAAGTGATTAACACCCTTGTGGCACCAGAGGAGGGAAGTCCCTCCATCCCCCCCGCAAACAGTGCAAAACTGCTTGCTTACTCCTTCCTTCACACCTCCTTCTCTCCTATCTCCACATTCACTTATAATATCCCATCCACCTGCAACATTATTCCTTCCATTTGGCCCCCAACAGGAATCATGTGAGGCCCGACTTAAATTGTGCTTCCAGCCCATACAGATTCCACATGGGACCAAACCTTGTTCTGAATGGATGCTTTACAGAAAACAGGACAAATCATAGAGGAACATTTTGATAAATGGACCGTATTAAAATTAGGAAGCTTATTTCATCAAAAGGCATATTTAAGGGAGTGGAAAGAAAAACCACAGATTATGAGAGGTGTTTCAATTTACACATCTGACAGAAGATTCCTATTAGGAATACAGAAGTTACTTCTATTAATTTATGATAAAAAAGACAGCCAATCTACAAATGGACAAAATCTAAATCTAAGCATTACCAAAAATGGACAAAAAGCATGGCCTGGGGTTCATGAAAGAAGACATCCAACAAATATTTGAATAGATGCTCAACCTCAGCAGTCATGAATATAATGAAATTTTAAACCGCTACTATGTGGATTATGGGAAGTTATAATCAGAATGGCTAACTTAAAAAGAATTGACAGAAGTGTTGCAATACCAAATGTGGAGCAACTCTAGTCCTTATACATTGCTGGTGGGTGGGAGTGGATGTAAATTAGCACCATAGTTTTGGAAAATATTTGGCAGATTTGAAAAAAGGTTTGGTGGGTGAGCATATATTCAACGTACACATATCCTATGATCTCTGTGTGTATTTCTATCAATCACCAATCATCTATTTATCTATCATCTACATTCTACCTCTGTATTTATCTACCTCTGTGTCTATCTATCTATCTATCTATCATCTGTCATCTACCTGTAAATCCTAACATTTGCAATAATACCTCCAATTTCAGGCCAACACAACATGCTTTTTTCCCCTAGCTTTCTGACATTCCTATGTTTTGTCTATGGAAACTTCTCCAACAATAAGTGGCTTGACTTCTGTTATCTGCAATATATTTGCTTATTTGCTACACCCTTCTCTGTGTCAACATTCTCCTAGTTATGTAGCTAACTTAGTCCCAATCTTGTTGGCCCTGAATTGTAGGCCACCTTCTTGGACCCAGTCCTACCAAATATGCTGGTCAAGTTCACGGTCTTGTCCGAGCCCTGGTCCCAAAGAGCACACTGGGCAAGTCCCTGATTCTGGTCCTAGCCCCAGCCCAGGTGAAAACCCCAACCAAATTCCCAGCTAAATGCCTGGCCCTGAGCCAGTGAACTTGTCTGTTGAGATCCAGGCATTGACCAAAGGAAAGGAGAACAAATACTGACTGTATGAAGCCATGACTCAATAAGACAGAGCCTTAGATGAAGACCTGTGTACAGATAGTTCATTTGGAAGTGATCAATGGAAAGGGATCAAGGATCCCAGGGATCAGGACTGAGCAGGTGGCAGAGGTGGAGAAGGAGGAGAAGCCAACACAAGTATGCATAATCCAGGTCAGCATAGAGGGTAGTGGGGACTGATTCCCCTGGGACTACCTGAGAAGCCTATGGAATGGCTCCCAGAATCCACCACTGGAAAGAAGGGTGGCAGGAGTGTGTGAACTACTGCCTCCACTCTTCATTGGCAGTAGGTTGTCACCCTGTGTTCCCTCCCCCACACTTCTGAGCCTTGGGTGAATGTGTAGGCTGAGCCAAATCCCAACCTGAGAAGGCACACAAAGAGGAGCCTGTGGGCAGAAAGCAAGAAGTGAGGAGGACACTGGCAGCATATGTGGAGAGACTGAAGTGAATCACAGCCTGAGGCAAGCTGTGACCTGAGGGTGAAATCAGAGGTGGGCCCAAGAGGATGGCCATCATCTTCAAGTGACCTCCCCAGTCTTCACTCCTAGTTGACAAGGGAATAAGTCGGGTTCACAGATATTAACCAATCACTATAAGGATGTGGATTTCCAAAGCACTAATGTTCAAGTTAGGCCATGTAAAACATAAATAACTTAAATGAGATGACACATTACTTATGTGTTTATGTTTAATGTTGTGAACAAAGTTCGTTGTAAGTTGAAATATGATGACACAGTCCTGGAGTGCAGCTAGCTGGGCAAAGCTCAGGGGAAACAAATGGATTGTGTTTTGATTGTGGCCTGGGTGTCATTCTAGGCTGTGTCTTCTTACATTGGAAATTGGATTTGTGGTCAGGCTGTTTCATGAAACCCTGGTCCCAGACGTCATCAGCCAGCTTGTCCTTGAGGCTGTGGAAGAGAGGTGAGAAATGGATGGAGCTCTTGTGGCCAGAAGTGCTCCTCTTACCCAGCTGATACTCAGCTGCTTATTGTCCCTGGGGCTTGACTGTGCTACCTTGGACTTTAGTGGAAAGCTGGTCTTTAGACAGGTGATATATCTGACTTGTAATAGGCTAGGCTCCTGACTGGCTCAATGTTTGTTTTTTTAAAACATGTATACTTTAATGTTTATTTTTTAGAGAGACAAAGCATGAGTCAGGGAGGGGCAGAGAGAGAGAAGGAGACACATAATCTGAAGCAGGCTCCAGGCTCTGAGCTGTCAGCACAGAGCCTGATGTGGGGCCTGAACTCACAGACTGAGAGATCATGACCTGAGCCGAAGTTGGATGCTTAACCAACTGAGCCACCCAGGTGCCCCTGGCTCAATGGTTTTAATCCTGGGTGCTTTACTTCCCCAATCTACCCCAGCTAACAGTCATGGCCAAGATTCCAAGAGACATGGAGGGGGCTTGTGAGGTCATCTGCCAGGTCCCCTCACTTTCTGCCTGTGAAACAGCACAACCTCCCATTTTGTATGGGGCATCTTAATGCCAGAGAGAGAGATCCAATTGTCCTAAGTGACATAGAGTCAGGGTCAGTTCTGGGACCAGATCCCAAGTGCCATGCTTCCAAGTGTACTCAGATTGTCATATCCCTCCACATGATCACAGATTACAGCCCTGCAGAGCTGGGTCAGTGGAACAATAGTCCTCTTTCCCTCAGGGAGTGGTCTGGTCTTTGTGCCTTACTATGGTGGGCCTCATGTCTGAAAATGGAGCCAGCCATGCTCACGAAGTACAAGACAATCTTGACACTAAGAGACTATTAAGGAAAAGAAGGCCCATGCCTTCAAACAGATGCTTGCAATTTTGGGAGATTGGGGCTGGAGATAGCTTAATTCTGTGTCTCAAGGGCACCAGCTGTCTCTAAATAGTTGCCTTATGACATTGTAAGAGAAGGTCTATGTTCCAGGTCAAATGCTTTCCCTCTCCAACATTTAACATACCACTCCATCTTGCCCATTCTACCTAACCTCACTCCCACTCCCAGCCTGCTTCACCTCCCCTGTACCATTACAGTGGCCTGCCTGCCCTCAGGCCCTCCCTCACTTACTCCGACCCATACTCAGATACCAGGTCATTCTTCCTCATGTGCATCTTGGAATGTGACACTGTCCTTCACTCCTATTTCCAAAACTTTTAGTGCGTCTTGTTTTTCCAGAGTCCAGCCAGATGGGACTTCCCCCTCCATCCACTCTCTTCCTCCCCCTCTTGTACCAGCTCTGAAGAATCTTTTCATTTCCCATTGCATGCCATTCCCATTCAAGACCAGTCCTGTTGAAGATTTTTTAACGAAAAGCCTTGAAAGAGCTTCTAGGTTATAGACATCTAGTTTCCTCTAGTTTCACTACTAGGACAATAGTCTGGGTTTGAGGATTAATTAGATAAAAGTTGGGGTTGGGGCGCCTGGGTGGCGCAGTCGGTTAAGCGTCCGACTTCAGCCAGGTCACGATCTCACAGTCCGTGAGTTCGAGCCCCGCGTCGGGCTCTGGGCTGATGGCTCAGAGCCTGGAGCCTGTTTCCGATTCTGTGTCTCCCTCTCACTCTGCCCCTCCCCCGTTCATGTTCTGTCTCTCTCTGTCCCAAAAATAAATAAACGTTGAAAAAAAAAATTAAAAAAAAAAAAAAGTTGGGGTTATGGAGAAAAGTTTGAAGCAAGAGAGAGACCGGACAAAAGGAGGTGTGATGAGAAAAGAAATGTGCAGGTGATGTTAGAGACTGGAGCCAAAGGCTGGAACACCCTGAACCTCAGTTGAATCTAAAATACTTCTTAGACGATGGCCCCCAAACCCTAAATTGCCAGCCATTGCTGCGTTTTCCTCCTCCTAGCTAAATGTTACCCCATGAAAAATAAGACCAAGTTGTTTAGGGGCACCTGGGTGGCTCAGTCAGTTGAGCGTCCGACTTAGGCTCAGGTCATGATCTCACGGATCATGAGATCGAGCCCCGCGTCAGGTTCTGTGCTGACAGCTCAGAGCCTGGAGCCTATTTCAGATTCTGTGTGTCCCCCTCTCTCCGTCCCTCCCCTGCTTGTGCTCTCTCCTTCTCAAAACTAAATAAAACATTAAAAAAAAGAACAGGTTTAAAGTCATATATTTTTTCTTTGAAATTGCCATATAGTCATTAAATAACATGAATTTCAACAACACTACACAGCAGTACAGGAGCATTGACTTTCTAAGAATTCGGGAGTGTTTCATTCTGGTGATCCATGGAAGGACCTGACAATACTGTAGGCAGGTTGGAGGGAGAACAATGACATCCTGCCATGAACTTGACTGAGTTCACAGGAAAGAAAACATGCCACCAGATTTTATACTTTACATTTGCTAACATTTATATCAGACAAAGTCAAAACATCAATAACTTAAATATAATTAAATAGTATTTAAGAAATGTGCTTTAAATTATTATACAAAGTGCTATTGTTGGGATTGTAAAAAAATAATATCACTCTGCCCTTGGGGAGGGTTGGGGGAAAATAAATAAGATTTTCTTCAGGCTCTGTCTCTCCAGTCCGGGTATAAAGGTTCAAGGTTTCTGGGTTTGGGACTTTTGGTCCAGGCGCTTCATGAAATCCTGGACCCACTTCTGCTTGGGGTCAGCACAGATCTCTCTGGATGTTTTGGTCTTGAAGCTGTGGAGGGAAGAGAGGGCAGTTAGATGGAGCACCTTGAGGATTTTGTCCAGGAATGTGGCCTGTTGGACCCTAAACCTGAGCAGCTTTTTCTCTCTGGGTGAGGGGACTGGATGGGGACAGGTGGGGGAGGAAAAGTCCTCAAAAGGAAACTGTGCTCTTGTCCCAGGGGAAGCCCTCAGGCTCCTGGCTGAAAGAACTTGGATGATCTGGCCAAGCTCCCAGAAGGTTAGCCTGGACAGAGTATGGATTCCCTCCCGTGAGCTCAGTTTCTCCATGGGGTAAAAGTTCCTTTGGATTAGATGGTATATTTATCTGACTCATTTGGACATGCATCCCGATATCTTTCCCTTGTATGTAACTCAGATAGAACTTTTGGTGGAGGGTTCCAGGGCATGATCTACTCACATCACAGCTTCCTGGGGACACTGGATGTTGGTGATCCTTGTGTAGCTCTCTAGCTTCTGCATAGGGATCTTCCCTTTGACCACACTGAAGCAGCAGGTAATTGGGATGGAAACTGAACCTGAAAAACATTTTGCAAAGAATGATACAGTTATAATGCATCATAAGCATGCATTTGCAAGGGCAGGTAGAGAAGCTGGGAAAAGACAAAACAAACATACAAGTTCCAATGAACACTGGGCACTCCCAAGTCCAGTGCCTTAGTTCACATTCCACAGATGAAATGGTGCCCAGGAGTCAGTTTCCTCTTTGGGAGTCTGGAGACCCTCATTGTTGATTTGGAATGGAGAAATCTCAAGTGGCAAGACTAATCTGGTAGTGCCATTAGGAGGATCCACTGATCCAAAACCACTGACACCAAAAAGATAAGTTCTAAGAACTTGCTTCCCAGCTTTCTGTCCCCATGGGCTCTAAAGCCAACCTCTGTCACATGCTGAGAGGCCCCTGGGTCCTTATTATTCTTACATGGCTGGCTGTAATTCAAAATTTGAAACCCCAAGCACTAATTTTTTTTCCTCTGCACTACTGCCTGAAATGTTCTTCACATCCACAAGGAGAAATGGTCCTTCCTTCTGTGTCACATCCCCAAACAATGTAAGGGTCATTGAGGTAGTGGCTGCATTTAGTGTCTCTTCTGCAGCTGGTGTCAGGAAGGACCATGGGGACTGGCCTCAGTGGCCTGGGCATCTGGTTCTGGTTCTGGCTAGTTGTGCCATGACAGCTCTTTTTATCTCTGCTGTTGGTTTCAATTTCTCCATCTCTGTAATGTAGGCTATGCAGCAAGCATGCTGGGATGGTAGTACCTACAACAGTTAAAATGGTAAGCCTTAGGAAGAGAGGGCCTTACCTGGCTGAGCAAGCACCCGGATGCTGAAGGTGGCCACTGTGAGCAGCAGGCACAGAAGCACTGCGGAGACCTTCATGGCAGAGGGAAGCACAGAAGCTTGGGTGTGAGAGATGGAAGTTCCCGGGTTGGTTTCAGCCTCGCTGTTCCTCTGGACACCCTGCCTGTCTTTTATAGAGAGCAGAGTGTGTGGGCGGGGGCATGAAGTAAGACTTTGAATATGCTTAGTAGGCACCAGATCCTGGGGGTGATTTCCAAACGCTGGAAGAAGGAAGCTGAACAGTTTCTACCATTCACTTAGACTATGTGGAGTAGAGGTGAAAGGGTATGTCATTGTACCAAGAGAAATACAGGAAGTGACCTCAATGGAATGTTAAGGAAATGGAAATGGACATGTTTGAAATGGAAAATGTTCTGTTGGAAAGGAAGAATGGAAGCTGAAGTCATAGTGAAGTGAAGACAATCAAAGATCTGGCCCTCTCTGGGGCCCAGGAGGCCTGAGACTGGGCTTTAAGTCTTTGGCTGTACTTTCCATCAGACTCAGGTCCCTGGCATCCTAAACTAGTCAAGCTCCTGTAGAACCCCACACAGGTAGCCTGATAGAACCCTGGCAGAATGGTGGAATCCGGGAAAATCTTCAAGTTTTAATGCCATGGAATCTTATGTTATGGGGCATGAGAATTGGACAGCACATACTGATCTTGTAGGGTGGTGTTTCCAAATATTTTATTTAGACACTAAAGTTTCTTTCCAGTGAAATCATAAGGAGAAACTCAATATTTCATGCAGGTAGAATGGGTCTGTTTGAGAAAGACCTTCAGTTCCCTTTGTTTACATACAGGGGGTAGGGGTGGAGAGGGAAGGGAAGGAGCTAGGTTTGCAAACCACTGACCTCTTCTACTCGCCTCCCCTCATGTATCTGCCATTACAGTATCATGTGGAAATCCCACTGCCCTGAGACTCCCCTGTGCTCCTCCTCTCAAATCTCTGGCTACCACTGATCTTTATAATATCTCTATATGTTTATTTTTACAGAATGTCATACAGTTGGAACCATACAGTATGTAGTCTTTTCAGATTGGCTGCTTTCACTTAGAAATAGGCATTTAAGCTTCCCTGTGTCTTTTCATGACTCATTTCTTTTTATTGCTGAATAGTATTCTATCATATGTGTGTATCAGTTTATTTAACCATTCTTCTATTGAGGGACATCTTGGTTGCTTCCAGTTTGGGGCAATTATGAATAAAGCTGCTGTAAACATTCTTGTGCAGGCCTTTACGTGGACATAAATTTTCAAGTCATTTGGGTAAATATCTAGGAGTGTGACTGCTAGATGATATGGTAAGACTATGTCTAGCCTTGTAAGAAGCTGTCAAAGGGTCTTCCAAAGTGGCTGTACAACGCATTGTTCATTCTCACTAGCAAAGAATGAGAATTCCTGTTTTCTGCATCTTCGCCAGCATTTGCTATTGTCAATATTTTGGATTTTAGCTACTCTCCTGGGTGGGTAGTTGTTTCTTATTGTCTTAATCTGCAATTCCCTAATGACATATGATGTTGAATATATTTCATATGCCAATTTTCTATTTGCATATTTTCTTTGGTGGGTGTCTCTGATGAGGCCTGTCACTATTTTTAAATTGGGTTGTTTGTTTTCTCATTATTGAGTTTTAAGTGTTCTTTGTATATTTTGGACACAAGCCCTTTAACAGATGTGTATTTCACAAAGGTTTTCTCACAGTCTATGGTTTGTCTTCTCCTAATGGTGTCTTTCATGCAGGATAAGTTTTTCATTGTAATGAAGTCCAACTTATTAATTTATTAATTTCATGGATCAGGCTTTTCGTGTTGTGTCTACAGAGTCATCACCAAACCCAAAGTCATCTCAATTTTTTACTATATTATCTTCTAGAATTTCATAGATTTGAATTTTACATTGAGGACTATGATCCATTTTGAGTTACTTTTTGTGAAAGGTATAAGATCTGTATCTATATTCTTCTTATTTTATTTTATTGTATTTTGCATGTGGATGACAAGAACCATTTGTTGAAAAGATTTCATTTTCTATTGAATTATCTTTGCTTCTTCAATATTGATTCTTCCTATCCATGAACATAGGATCTCTATTTACTTAGTTCTTTAATCTTTCATTAAAATTATTGTAGTTTTCCACATATTGATATTATACATATTTTCTTAGATTCATTCCAATGTACTTTATATTTTAGTCCTAATATATATAGTATTGTGCTATTAATTTCAAGTTGAAATTGTTGTTGGTATGTGGAAAAATAATTGAATTTTATGTATTAACTTGGTAGCTTGATACCTTGCTATAATTGCTTTTTTGTGCAGGAGGGGTGTGTGTGTGTGTGTGTGTGTGTGTGTGTGTGTGTGTGTGTTTCTTTTCCTACATGGACAATTATGTCTTTTACAAACAAAGACCTTTTTTTTTTCAATTTCTTCTCAATTTGTATACCTGTTTATTTTCTTGTCTTGTCTTATTGCATTAGCTAGGACTTCCAGTATTTTGAATAAGAGTGGTTAGAGGGAACATCCTTGCCTTGTTCCCAGTCTTAGGGGAAAAGCATTTCTTCATGATTAAGAATATCATTTCATTGTTTCTACATCAGTAAATATGATGTTAGCTGTAGGCCTGTTGTAGATGGTCTTTATTAAATTGAGGACACATCTCTTTATTCCTAGTTTGCTGAAAGTTTTTTCATGAATGGGTGTTGGATTTTGTCAAATGCTTTCTATTGGTATCATCATATTGATATCTTTGTGTACTTGGAATAAACCCCACTTGATTATGTTGTGTAATTCTTTTCATACATTGTTGAATTCTATTTGTTAATATTTTGTGGAGTATTTCCTATCTATGTTCATAAGATGGTCTATAGTTTTCTTTTGGTTCTTCCAGGATGGCAGGATTTTGATCACTTTGGGGACAGTCCCCCTGCCAGATATACCATGTATCACTGATCTCTATGGGGCTGTGTAGGCTAACAGGTCAAATTTGCTTATATTTTTAATTTGGAAATAAAATCATTGTCTTACAAAATACCCTGAAGACCTCATTTTTAATTTCTCCTCTGAGCAGTCTTCGTATGGAAAGTGCATCTATAAACAAATGACAGAAATAATGGTGGAAATCATAGTTCTTGGGAATCAAAAAGGAATAATCAAATGAATAGAAATAAATGGCATGTCCTGAGTCTAATCCTGATTTAGCCAATAACTAGCTAATGACTTGCCCAATGTGACCATGAACTAATCTTGACTCTGAGGTTCATTGTCCTCATCTATAAAGTATGGATTTTTGAAAAGTTCAGGGATGGTAAATAGTTTTCAATCATGTATTCACCTGATGGATTTATGGTAGGTGACCAGAAAGGTTTGTTGGGAAAACAAATAAACAATAAGCCTTCATTTGAGTATTGAATGTAAAGTCACGATTGATTATTGATGTCTGCCATGGGTACAACAGTGGGAATTGGTACTTCCCATGTAACATAGTTTCTTTTCTAGGGTTAAATCATATATAAGCTCTTCTGTAACTTAATTTATGTATGATTATCTGCGAATGATCCAATCAGAAACCAGAGACGCTGGGATGCCAGGAACTTGCAGACAAGTGTTTTCAGCTGTCAGCCCTAGGAAAGACAGTACAGCATGGTAGTTAAAAGTCTGGATTTAGATACTAGGATTACTAGTTAATATCTATGTCAGAGAAGGCACAAGTAATCTAATTTCTTTGTAGTTCAAATTCTTTACCTATTCTTTGTTTTTCTTATATGGAAATGAAGTTTATTGAGAATATTAAACTACCTAACACTGAAAATTTACTTTGCAGAGTGAGTGGCGTATGGTAATATGTGCAATAAGGTAGCCATTAGCAATAGTCAAATAAAATGAGTGTTCTGTCTAGAACAAGCTAGAAAGGAACTCAAAATGTAGTTCTTGGTCTCTTGTACCAGTTCCCCCCAAAACCATTTCCAAACAAAGATATGTGATAAAGACAGGCCTCCCGAAATGCCTACACTTTAGATGAAGAAAGAAAAAGGGTCTCCTGGAAACAGAGAAGTGACGTCCTGCCATGAACCAGAAGAATGGAATGTTGTGGGGTCTCAGAAGAGATGGGGGTCAGATCCCAGTGTTGATATGCCAAAGAGCAGCAGGCTCCTAATTCTACAGGGAGTTCAGAGTTCTTAGCTGGAAAGTCACTCTGATTATGCAATTTCCCTTTCTTGCTTTGTTTTTAAACTGAAATCAAGAAATCCAAACATAAAAAAGTTAAAACGAAACTTTCGCCCATGCAAGTTCATGTCTGTCCAGCAGCCTGGCTGTGTCGTTCAAGGAAGTGGTCATTCTGCCTCTTCCCTTTCCCTTCTCCACAGTGCTTTCCCAGCAAACAAATTCTTGAAGCAGTTTTGACAACCCACCTACAGGTCAGTGGCTGCAAAGGGGAGCTTGAGGTCAGAAGCCTGTGAGTAGCAGGCAGGAAATGAGTATCCTGGTATGGAAATAGATCTGAATTTGTAGGTGGTTCTCAAGGGATGCGATGGGAATGGGAGAGCACGCGGGAATCAGAATTGCTGTGTTCATTTTCCACTTCAGTCTCCAGTGTCCTCAGTGGTCACACAATTATAGATTGCATTGGAAGAGACATTTGCACTTAATTTCACTAATCTTTTCACTTCACAAATGAGGGAAAGAATCATGGAAGTGAAATGATTTGTCATGGATTGTACAGCGACTACACGACAAACCAAGACTGGTCAGTGGTCATGTCTGAACGAAAACCATTTTGAAATTCAAAGTTAGGAGACAAAGACCAGGTAGAAGACTGCAGTGAGGTGCTCCAAAACCCCAGGGACCATCTAATGTCCTAGTCCCCAGATCCACCTATAATATCAGGATTCTCTGGGCAATTATTAGTAAGATATGCCTTAACCACTTCAGTATAATGAGTGAGAATCTTTGGAGATGATGTCTTAGATTCTGTTTTTGAAGTGAGCTGAGTGATTTTTAATCAGATCCGTTAACCTAGTTCAAATGTCTCATTTACGGATGTATAAACTGAGGCACAGGGTAGGAAAATGATGTGCCCAGAGTCACTTGGAGA